TAACCTAGCATGTTAATGTTAGCTAGCTACTACTAGTGGATATAATTTTAGCTAAAAGTAAGCTATATAGATTTGAAACAATTTGCTACCATGTCTAAGAGACAAAAACTATCAGGAAGCGAATATTTTAAAAAACGAATGAGAAAAGAGGCACAATCTCTAAACCAAAGAAATTCGCTGCTGAAATTTATCAGCATGCAGCAATGTCCATCAGCCGTTGTGGAGAATGATAAGCCTCTGAGGACAGGCCATTCATTCGCCGAGAACAACGAGACCCCGTTCACTGATTCTAGCAGCGAAGATGGCAAACTGGAGGAGTCCGAGCCATGCACTTCCACTGATGATGACAGCTCTCTGGCTGGACAAGAACAGGTGGTTGCACCAGGCCTAGCCACACCTCCAACAATGCCGGCGAAGACCCTACTATCTTGGACCCGGACTCAGATTCGTCGCTCCCCGTCCCCGATGACAGTGGTGGTGCTGCTGCTAAATCCAACTCCAAGACTGGGCCACATCAGGGTAATTTTAGTGGGCAACGAAAGTTTTCGGTGGCCCACTACAATAGGAGGATGGCAAAAGGGGGAGAGAGTGGAGAGACCATGGCTTGTCTATTCCAAGCAAAACGGCGCAGCTATTGACGGAGAGACTCTCCACTGGCAGCAGGTGCTGCAGAGGCTCATAGCCCTGATACGTGTAATGGCCACCCAGAACATTGCGTTACGTGGGACCACCGATTGGCTGAACGAGCCAAATAATAGGAACTTTCTGAAGTTTGTGGAAATGCTGGGTATCTTTGATGGAATCATGAAGGAGCATGTAAGGAGAGTACAGTCCAAAGAAACACATGTGCACTACCTCAGTAAAATAATCCAGAACGAAATCATTGACATGCTGGCACAAGAGATCCAGTAGACAGTGTGCAGTGATCTAAAAGCAGCCAAATATTTTTATATAATTTTGGACTGCACACCAGACAAGAGCAAAACAGAGCAGATGACCATGGTGGAGCGTTTTGTTTAAACCGAGGATGATGGGTCAGTGCGCACGAGAGAGCACTTCCTGGAGTTTAGTGAACTGCTTGACGCAACGGGGGCGGGCATTACCGAGTTGCTCATCTCAAAACTACAGAAACATGGCATCGCCATCATGGACATGAGAGGGCAGGGGTATGACAATGGGGCGAATATGCGGGGGAGGCACAGCGGAGTTCAAAAGAGAGTGCAGGATATAAATCCGAGGTCTTTTTTTGTGCCATGCAGCGCACACTCGCTGAACCTGGTTCTCTCTGATGCAGCATCGTGTTGCTTGGAGGCGGTTGAGTTTTTTAACACCATCCAAGAGATTTATACATTTTTATCCAGATCTACACACCGCTGGGACATACTGAAAGAGCATGTAAAAGATGGACTCACAGTGAAACCCCTCAGCACCACGAGATGGGAGAGCCGGGTGCAGGCTGTGAAACGTGTGTTACCAACTCTGGGAGATTTATGATGCCCTGTTGTCGATCACCACCGACACCAAGCTTATAGGCAGCTGTGGTGCTAAAACAAGGTTAGAGGCAAACAGCATTGCCGCCAAGATGAACAACTTTGGCTTCATGTGCGCAGTGGTCTTTTGGTATGACATCTTGTTCGAAGTGAACATCACCAGTAAGAGTTTGCAGGCGGTGAGTTTCAACCTTTCACTAGCAGTGGCTCAACTGAACTCAACCAGGGTATTCCTCCAAGACTACCGCTCTGATGCAGCTTTCTCTGGCGAATTAGCAAGCGCAAAAGAGTTGGCAGAGGAGATGGGTATTGAGCCCTGTTTCCCAGTGCAGCCCACGGTCCGTCCCAGGAAGAAGAGGAGTCTGTTTGGCTACAAGGGAGAGGATGAGCCTGTGACTGACCCTCAGCAGAAATTCAAAGTACATTTCTTTAATCAGATTCTTGATTCTGCTATCCAGTCCGTCAACGAGCACTTTACGCAGCTCGAAGAGCACAGCAGTATTTTCAGCATCCTGTACAACATCCCCACCATCAAGGACATGGACACTGCAGCACTTACCAGGGACTGCGCAACACTGGAGAGGGCCCTTACGTATGGGGATTCCAGGGACATCGACGCAAAATATCTGTGTAATGAGCTCAAAGTCTTGAGCAGGAGACTGGACAGTGAGGCAAAACCACTCAACGCACTGGAGTACATATCCAGACACCAAATGGCCTTGTATCCCAATGCCTTTGTTGCCCTGAGAGTTCTTCTCACACTCCCGGTGACAGTGGCAAGTGGAGAGCGCACATTCTCCAAGCTCAAACTCATCAAAAACGACTTGCGCTTTACTATGAGTCAAGAGAGACTCAATGGACTCACCACCATATCAATTGAGCACGAGTTGTCTTACAAAATCAACCTCCAACAAGCAGTGTATGCTTTTGATGCCAGGAAGGCCAGGCGAGTCAACTTGTCTTTGAATACACTCGCATTAATTTGTAAGATTACTCAATTATCTATCACCTGTTTACTTTGTATTTTTTAGATTTATATAGACTACAACCTAATCTTTCTTTCTCTCTCGCTCTCTCTCCTCTCTCTGTCTCTCGCAGATTATTTGATTTCAGGACCATGGACAGCTACCGAGAGAAAACATCGCTGACTGCAGAGGAAAGTGGCCACTAGGCGAAGACTAAATAAATCAATGCTGAAACTGATGACTTCCACATGCCTTTTGGCGAACACCCAAAAAAAAATCTTTAAGCAATGGCTTTTTTCTGGCCACTCTTCCGTAAAGCCCAGCTCTGTGGAGTGTACAACTTAAAGTGGTCCTATGGACAGATACTACAATCTCAGCTGTGGAGCTTTGCATCTCCTTCAGGGTTATCTTTGGTGTCTTTGTTGCCTCTCTGATTAATGCCCTCCTTGCCTGGTCCGTGAGTTTTGGTGGGCGGCCCTCTCTTGGCAGGTTTGTTGTGGTGCCATATTCTTTCCATTTTTTAATAATGGATTTAATGGTTCTCCGTGGGATGTTCAAAGTTTCTGATTTTTTTCTATAACCCAACCCTGATCTGTACTTTTCCACAACTTTGTCCCTGAACTGTTTGGAGAGTTCCTTGGTCTTAATGGTGCCGCTTGCTTAGTGGTGTTGCAGACTCTGGGGCCTTTCAGAACAGGTGTATATATACTGAGATCATGTGACAGATAATGTGACGCTTAGATTGCACACAGGTGGACTTTATTTAACTAATTATGTGACTTCTGAAGGTAATTGGTTGCACCAGATCTTATTTAGGGGCTTCATAGCAAAGGGGGTGAATACATATGCACGAACCACTTTTCCGTTATTTATTTTTTAGAATTTTTGGAAACAAGTTATTATTTCACTTCACCAATTTGGACTATTTTGTGTATGTCCATTAAATGAAAAAAAAATAAAAATGCATTTAAATTACAGGTTGTAATGCAACAAAATAGGAAAAACGCCAAGGGAAAATAATACTTTTGCAAGGCACTGTAGTTGGCTGCAAAGTAATAACAACATTGTAACTCTCCGATGCAGGGGTTAAAGTAAAATTCCCTTCTGTAGGTAAGGGACCTCCTATTTGTGCACCAACTTTTTTTATGGGCATAATCATAGAATTACATAATTGGAGCCTATTTCTTCCTATTCCCAAAAATAAGTGGTAAGCCTACCTGTTTGACAGACACAATTATGCTATCCATAGATGTCGGTATAGCCAAATACTCCAATACTGTAGCATTCACTGATTAAATACCTCCGTGCCTGGGAAAGGCTTGGTGTGTTTGGTTAAAACCTGGGCTCGAATTGAGTGAGGGTAACGCATACCCTTTGTTAAATAAAAGAGCAAAAATGATGTCTATTGTTTGCTTTATATTTTGAAATAAATGCATAAAACGTACCCAAATTATATCTAGCGTTCTATAACGATGCTTAACTCGGTGATGCCTTATGTTAGAAACAAGCTCTAAAATGCCCGCGAAAGACGAGACTCCGATGCATATGGGGATATATTGATTCCTCTCTATGACTTTCTGAAGCTGAGCTGCAGCCTATAATATTCGAGGAGATTTTTAAAAATTGACTTTGCTATTCTATCCCTATTAATTGAGTTTTCCTCTTTCTGAAAAGAGAAGATGTTTGTTCAAACCCAGGCAGCTTTTAGGGAAGCACTTCTGTTGTTGGGTTATACAATGGACAAGCCAGCAGTAGCCAACATTTATCTGCGTCGGTAGAGCCTCTGTCTGGGTGGAAAGGTACATTTTGAAAGTGCCATGCTTAGATTCATAAGGCTGTCTATGATGTAATTATTTACAAACAAGACACACTGCCGCCGAGTAAAGTTTGATTGTTTATCAACTATTGATACCGGAGCTTCGATCAGTTTCAGTATCATCTCGTGATGCACTCTTTGTTTTGGTTCTTTTCCTGGTTTTTCTATGTTGAAGACGTCTTCCTATGGAGTTTTAACATAAACATTTAGCAAGTTTCCACACTGCCATCTAGAGTGTAGGAGAAGGATTGATGACAGTAGGGAAGAAATGGTTGGTTGAAGAAATCTCTTGAGGATTCGGAGGAGCTAGCTACCTCACGTTAGTCATGCGTTGAATCAAGTTCGAAGACAATCTCGTTAGCTAGCTAAGTATTAGCAAGCTAGTAGTAGTAGCAGTAGCAGCTAGCTAACTAAGGTTAGCTATCGAGCTCTGTTAATGTCATGGAATTACTGTGAATCTCTCTGGTAGGTAGCGAAGGTATTCGTTAGCATAGCCAGCTAGATAGCTACCTGTTTGTACAGATATGTCATCATTTGTTAGGACTCTGTCAGTATGCTAATTTTAGCTAGCTAGCTGACTAGCAAACCTTAACATTGTTAACGTTAGCTAACAGGCCAGAAGGAGCTGCTATACTGGTAGCTAGTTAGCCAGGAACTAGCTGTGTGGATTATGTTAGGCCACGGTGTCTGACCCATTATGTGAATATGCCTCTTGTGGTTTAACAGGATATGGCAGAGTTGAGATGCCGGAAAACAGCGGTAAAGGAGGGAGAAGAGGAGGAACACCAGCAGTGTGAATCTGAACCTCGCTCAGAGAATTTTACAAGTAAGCAACCACACTCAATAGGTGTCAAGATACAACTGTAGGCCTACATGGTTTTTTGACAGCCAGGAAATAAATATATGTGGGTGAAGTTGTAATTTATTCATTTTCTTTTACCAGTGGACAAGGTTAGTCTGAAGAAGTGTTCAGAGGACACAGATGGAGCTACTTGTGGGGCTCAGGAGAAAGAGAAGGAAGATGAAGAGGAGGAGGAGAAGAAGGAAGAAGATGAAAAGGAGGAGGCAGACAGTCAGAAGCCCTCTCCTGTCAAAAGAACCCGGAGCGCCTGCAGATGTGAGTGGATCTCTTGTTATTTTCTCACTGGAAGGGTAGGGATGATTATTCTCTTTCACCAGATACTTCCTCCAATGTTATGTGAAATAGCCTGGGGACAAGGTTACTCACTGACTGACACAATCACACAGTAAAATATGTGCGTGGGTGAGTGTGTGACTTTTGTCTGACAATAACGTGATGTTCAAATGTACTTTACCCCCACTCCGCAGCGGTTATGCTTCAGAGTCTAGTGAAGCTGTTCTTTGGATGCCTGGCAGCAGTAACATGTGGCATGATGTATGCAGTGTATCTCTACACCTACCACGAGAGGAAGTTCTGGTTTTCTAGCAGACAGGTGGGTAGCGCTAGCCTGGGTACTAGTCTGTTTGTGCTACCATTCCACTCCTTTCCACTCCTTGTCATGCCACACTTGGGATGCCACACCAGGCTAGGGTAGCGCTGGGTCTTCCCCCAATCCATTTCTCTCTCTCTCAGCCCTCCTGTTTTTCTCTCCTTCCTCTCTTGTTCTCTTGTCCTGTCTGATAAATCGTTAAATAAGGGCCAGATGTTAACAGGAATATGAACAATGCTTACCCTACCTTTGTGCTTATTTTGTATCAGGAGCTGGAACGGGAAATCACCTTCCAGGGTGGCAGTGGACTCTACTATTACTACTACAAACACATGTTGACAGCACCCTCCTTTGAAAGAGGTAATGGCCTAATCTTGCCCCAAACAAACCAGTATCCAATACAAATCAGTGGTTTTGATATCCAAACCTGAGACAGCCTGTCTCACCCAGTCACAGTTCTACTGTAACACTATCATATGTTGCCATACTGTTACTACATCTATGGTTTTCAGTGATCATCCTCTTCTTATTTCTGTCTTATGGATTCGTTGTTTTTCTGCTTTAGGGATATACGAGCTGATGAGAGACAACAGGACTGTGTCTGGTCAGACCATCAACGCAGTGGAACGCCTGTCTCTGTACCCAGAGCTTGTTACTAGCCTGCTCTATAGAGTCACAGGAAGCCAGGTCAGTCCACCACCCAGAGATAATCTCTTTCCCTTGATCAAAAAGATCTGACATGAACCTGTGTTTTTTGGCTGCGTGGCAACTTGCGTTCGTTGACGCGCTGCCTACCCACAACCTGCAGTCTTATCACCCATAGAGATGCTGGTGATGTACTCTGTGTGTGTCTGACTGGTATGGTTTCCTCCACCCATCAGGATGTAATAGAGCCAGTATACTTCTACATCGGGGTGGTGTTTGGCCTCCAGGCTGTCTACGTCACTGCCCTCTTCGTGTCCAGCTGGGTGATGAGTGGCACGTGCGTGGCTGGCATACTGGCTGTGGCCTGGTATGTCATCAACCGGTGAGAGTGTGTTCATCTCCCAATCAGACACAATGGATGCGTCCCAAGTGGCACCCTATTCCCTTTATATTGTGCGCTACTTTTAACCAGGGCCCTACGATGCAGACTATGTCTGTTTCCCCATTGTCCTGCTTTTTCCAGAGGTGTGCACTTGCACCCTCCCTGTCATGGATTTAAAAGCATAGGAGTGTTGGCTGGAGGGTAGTTTCCACCATTGTTAAATCCATCAGAGAAAGTGTTCAAGTGTGATGAATCAGGACACAACCATTATCATGGTCTTCCTAGGCATTCAGACATTACAACTTAACTTGTTTTAATTCTGTCATTGTTCATTCATTGTCTCCCCAGACCAGACACAAGCAAAGTGGACTATGCCATTCCTCTGCGGGACAACTGGGCCTTGCCTTATTTCTCCTGCCAAGTTGCAGCTTTAACAGGATTCCTGAGTAATAACGTTAACTCTGCCACAGAGGTGAGCTACCTTTGCATGTTGCTCCAAATGTAACAATTACTTTTTAAATACCTAGGTCATTGAAGTAAGGGAGAGGAATAGATCATTGTTATGTGTGGGATATAGGGAATATAGAGATTCTAAGTTTGTGTTTGAAAGCTCTTCATCATACCACCTGTAGGTTTTTCCCCATTAGTAAAATTGACACGTTGGCTCTCCCCTCTGTGTTGTAGATGTTCTGTTACCTCCTGATGAGTGCCACCACCTTCACCTTCATCCTGGTGTGGGATCACAGCCACTACGTGCTCTTCATCCAGGGCCTGGCACTGTTCCTGCTTGACTCCTTTGACCTGGTGCCGCCCCGCAAGGTACTTACTTACTGCCCTCCAAAGTTATTGTGATATTATCTTATTTTGAAGACCTATTTGCTGACTTCAAATGCTGACTTCCGTCTTCATGGTTCTTGCAGATGAAACATTTGCTGAAGGATATTTTGGTATGATAAAATGTCAAAGTGTTCAGTCAATTGGATATAGTCTCAGTATCTCTCTCTCTTTCTGTCTCTCTGTGTGATTGTCAAGATGGCTGACATTCACAAGGTGTACCTGAGCTCTCTCTTCCTGGCCTACATCCTCCAATTCCAGAACCCAGCCCTGCTCAGCTCCCCTCTGCTCAGCCTCCTCATCAGCACAGTGCTCGCGAGGTACTTCCAGGTAGAGATAGCTTCTCACTCACTCTGTGGAACCAAATGGCAGTTAGGCTTTGGAGCTGTAAGTTAGCTTCCACCTTTCACACAAAATTATGAAATATTGAACGTCCAATACCGTTCACACATGGAGGAAACGTTTGATTGAAGCATAAGGTGTAAATTAGTCTTAATAAGATGATGGAAGCTGCTAATGTTAGATAACAGAGGTTTCTCTGATCTTTGACAACTGCCACAATCACTTTCAAAAGTTGTCTGTGGTCTTGTTTTCAGCAAAACATGAAGATGGGCCCCCTAGTGGCCAGACTGATGAAGGTCTTTCTGCATTTCTACCTTTGCTTCACCACCGGGATCACCTACAGCTATGTGGCCAAGGTGAGAGTCCCTGAGTTTAGGTTCAGTTTCATCAATATTGTAAAATTGATGGAAATATGGGAATGTTCCCTCTCTGGATGTGTATTTGTCTCTGGATGTGTATTTGAAAGGAAATTGCAACATCTGATTAACAAACACACAACATGTTGTAGTAGATGGGATTTTAGTTGAAAAATTTAACTTTTCATGTAATATGCTTCTAATTTGATTTCCAGCGACTAATGCCAGTCAGTGAGAGTGATTTCATTTTGAGATTTCTTGAAGTGAAATTCGGACTCAACACAACAACGTGAGTTGGAACACTTTCTAACTTAGAACTGACCCAAATATTTGGCATTCAGCAATAAGACAAAGATAAGGTAATTCTAATGTGAAGTGGCCTGAAGTCTTACTGTAGTAATATTAAGTGTTCAATCATGATGTTCACTAGCAATGAACAACAGCAAATATTAAAATATTCACAAAATATTGAATGGATACTCTTCCTCAGAGACTTTGTGACCAACCGGCTCCTGTGTCAAGAATGCTTCCAGACCCCCAGTCAGGACTTTTTCCTGCGGCTTACCCAAGCATCAGTCCTGCCTTTCTACCTACTGGTCCTCCTTATCTGTCTCATATCAACACTGCAGACCATCTACAGGAGGCTCAGGTTAGAAACTACACATAGTAGACGCCAAGAGAAGCTGTTGTTTTGTGTTCTCATAATATGGTCGATTTGAAGTATGAAGGTTTTTGTATGGCCATTCAGTAATTTTTGTATCTCCATGGTGACAGTGGTGAGCCAATGAAAACGAACCTCAGACTCGAAGATGGACGAATAGGAGAGCAACCCGAGGTCATCTACCACGTTTTCCACACAATGCTGTTCGGGGCTCTGGCTATGGTCTTTGAGGGGTGTGTTCCTAAATGATTCAGGCTTACTTGCTATAAGCTGTCAGACATGGAACAAAAAAATGGCTGTCATTTTTCACATGTGGTGTTCAACTATGGATTGACTCTCCCGCAGGATGAAGTATTTGTGGACCCCATACGTCTGCATGTTCACAGCGTTTGGTGTGTGTTCTCCAGAGCTCTGGGTGACTTTGTTCAGGTGGCTGAGGCTGAAGTCCATCCACCCTGTGGTACTGGTGAGAGAGGCATTTTCCATTCAATTGTCTCCAAGCACCATAACCTCTACGCTTCGAGTGTGGACATGCCTCCGGCTCCATACTCATAGCTAACAAATAGATTCCAGAACACTGAACAGTCCCTTTACAAGTCAGAATGTTGAATAAACTTTATTTGAACTTACTCTACTGGTTGTCAGCTGATTTCGTCATTATGCAGTTGGAAATGTGAGACAAAATATTCACAGGAAAGTATTATTAAACCGACTTCAAAACACATGCGGGTCGCTGTGTGTGGCTATCACGGTTTGTTCATCACCTGAGGCACGCTCACACGATGTAAATACATGCTGCATGCATACTAGCCGAGCGCGTGCAGGTGTGTACATGGTTTTGCGCATGTGTCAGGTGATAGAAATCTCAGCGCAGTACCAGCGTCTTGAAAGTCAGGTTAATAATGGATATTTATTCTCACATTTCCAGAGGCATAAGGACCAACCGCAGAGACAACCAGTAGAGTAAGTTCAAATGTAAGCTATTCTGGCTTTTGGAGGTCGTAAGAGGAAGCTTTCCAAACAATTGTATTGCTTTGTTTCAGACTGATACCTAGATATCAGTCTGATGTTTTAGGCTACAAGCACAATATCTGTTCATAATGTAAAAGTATAACATTAATCTTTTGCTGCTTGTTTTACCCAAACAGGCCTTGATCTTGAGCACAGCAGTTCCAACTATCATTGGATTCAGTTTATGGAGAGAGGTGAGGTTTGCAATATACGTTAGTATCATCATGTATTAGTATTCTCATGGTTTGAACTTTAACAATTAAGGTGACATTTGGAACATGTTAAATTGGCATAACCCTCTCTCCTTCTTTCAGTACTTTCCCCGTGTCATAGCAGAACTATCAGAGCTGCAGGAATTCTATGACCCAGATACAGTCGAGCTGATGAACTGGATAAAGTGTGTAATCTGCCTCACACAGATCATTTAATACCCTTTAATGCAGTTTACCTTGACTTGAGGGTTACACAGTACATTCTTACTGAGGATTCTGACCCACCAACTCATTTCTGCCTCCCTCCCTCTTTTTCTGTCTGTCCCGCCTCTGTTCCTCTCTTTCCTCTCCAGGACCCATGCCCCGATGGCGGCAGTGTTTGCAGGCAGCCCACAGCTGTTGGGATCGGTGAAGCTGTGCTCAGGTTGGACTGTGACCAGTCTGCCTCTCTACTCAGACATTGACCTGCTGAGGAGGAGTGAGGATGTGAGTATGCCTACCTGAATCATATGGTGTGCACTTAGTAGAGTAGACGCAAACAGGAGAAAATGTTATGAGATAGAAAAAAACATTCTTAATCCTACAGGTTAAAACATATCTCCCCCTGAAACATAGGATAGCTGTTCTCCCTAGCAATTAGTTTTTTCCTTCTGTCAATCCCCCCATTTGAAACCTTATGGTTTGTGTCAAATAGACGTACCAGGTGTATGCAATGAGGTCTGCGGAAGAAGTCTACAAGATTCTGTCTTTGCACAAGACGAGCTACGTGATTATCGAAGAGTCGCTGTGCAACGAGTTGAGTCCCACCAAGGGCTGCAGGATCAAAGACCTGCTGGATATCGCCAACAGCCATGTGAGTATTATGAACACCACTCCCTATACGTCAAAATTATACTAGATGCACGCACACACACACTTTGATGATAAGCTGTAAATTGTTACAGTACATAACGACGCTCTGTCGGAGCAATATAGCCTATATATACTACCGGTCAAAATTTTAGAACTACTCATTCAAGGGTCTTTCTTTATTTTTACTATTTTCTACATTGTAGAATAATAGTGAAGACATCAAAACCATGAAATAATATGTTATATTTGAGATTATTTGCCTTGATGACAGCTTTGCACACTCTTGGCATTCTCTCAACCAGCTTCATGAGATAGTCACCTGGAATGCATTGCAATTAACAGGTGTGCCTGCTTAAAAGTTAATTAGTGGAATTTCTTTCCTTCTTAATGCATTTGAGCCAATCAGTTGTGTTGTGACAAGGTAGGAGGGGTATACAGAAGATAGCCCTATTTGGTAAAAGACCAAGTACATATTATGGCAAGAACAGCTCAAATAAGCAAAGACAAACGACAGTCCATCATTACATTAAGACATGAAGGTCAGTCAATACAGAACATTTCAAGAACTTTGAAAGTTTCTTCAAGTGCAGTCGCAAAAACCATCAAGCGCTATGATGAAACTGGCTCTCGTGAGGACCGCCACAGGAATGGAAGACCCAGAGTTACCTCTGCTGCAGAGGATAAGTTCATTAGAGTTACCAGCCTCAGAAATTGCAGCCCAAATAAATGCTTCACAGAGTTCAAGTCACAGACACATCTCAACATCAACTGTTCAGAGGAGACTGTGTGAATCAGGCCTTCATGGTCGAATTGCAGCAAAGAAACCACTACTAAAGGACACCAATAAGAAGAAGAGACTTGCTGGGGCCAAGAAACACGAGCAATGGACATTAGGGCGGCAGGTAGCTTAGTGGTTAAGAGCGTTGTGCCATTAACCGAAAGGTTGCTGGTTCTAATCCCCGAGCCGACTAGGTGAAAAATCTGTTGATGTGCCCTTGAGCAAGGCACTTAACCCTAATTGCTCCTGTAAGTCACTCTGGATAAGAGCGTCTGCTGAATGACTAAAATGTAAAAAAAAATTAGACTGGTGGAAATGTGTCCTTTGGTCTGGATTACAAATGGGAGATTTCTGGTTCCAACCGCCGTGTCTTTGTGAGATGCGGTGTGGGTGAACGGATGATCTCTGCATGTGTATCTCCCACCGTAAAGCATGGAGGAGGATGTGTTATGGTGTGGGGGTGCTTTGCTGGTGACACTGTCTGTGATTGATTTTATAATTCAAGGCACACCTAACCAGCATGGCTACCACAGCATTCTGCAGCGATACGTCATCCCATCGACAGTGGGACTGTCATTTGTTTTTCAACAGGACAATGACCCAACACACCTCCAGGCTGTGTAAGGGCTATTTTACCAAGAAGGAGAGTGATGGAGTGCTGCATCAGATGACCTGGCCTCCACAATCCCCCGACCTCAACCAAATTGAGATGGTTTGGGATGAGTCAGACCGTGGGAACTCCTTCAAGACAGTTGGAAAAGCATTCCATGTTAAGTTGGTTGAGAGAATGCCAAGAGTCTGCAAAGATGTCATCAAGGCAAAGGGTGGCTATTTGAAGAATCTGTTTAAAACTTTTTTGGTTACTATATGGTTCCATATGTGTTATTTCATAGTTTTGATGTCTTCACTATTATTCTACAATGTAGAAAATAGTAAAAATAAAGAAAAACCCTTGAATGAGTCGGTGTTCTAAAACCTTTGACCGGTAGTGTACATGATTGCTTTCTTGCACATTACTGTTCTTTCTTGCTTTGACTTTTGCCGTCCTTCCTCCACCAGGTGGTGTATGACAAAGGCGAGATGTACTCCTTCTCCAAACATGGGCGATTCTGTCATGAGATAAAGATGAACTATTCGCCCTACACCAACTACTTCTCAAGGGTTTTCTGGAACAGGTCCTATCACGTCTACAAAGTCAACTCTGTCATCTCCTTCCAGTACTGAAGACAGCTCAGCTTCAGTCTAACTACTGAGCCAATACTTTCTTCTGTCTCTGCAGTGTCTGTTACCATAGTTGGATGCAATACAACCCCTTCGCAGTTGATTCTCGTAAAATCAGTGGAAGCGTGTTGATTGAATATTCAGTCCCCCTTTGACATTCTACAGGGAGTGTAAATTGTCTTGATATTCTGCACAGTAACAAATCGAAAACCCACACATGTAACAGAGTGAGATCCATGATGAGAACATTCAGTTGGTCCCCCAATTGTTGCATGTCAGATAAGTGGTCAAACTCTTAATGAATAGTTAGGGGCGAAGTTCACAATGCCATGTGAATCATAGTACTGTATTTCGTTTTCCAAAACACAAATTACTGTGATGCCTTGAGTGAAAGCAAAGCACACATGCATGTAAGGGCTACAGGTCCACTATTCTCTTCTTGTCATTATTTACCTCTTAATACTGACGCACATGCAGTGCATGTGTGCTGTTAAAGATTAAAGTTTGCTGCTTTGTGTCTTAGGATGTATTTGGCTGCACGGCCCCATTTCTTCTGTATGATGTAAAAAGGAAGGATGAGGATGAGTAGAGCTCACTCTTAAGCCTTATGGCAGGGTTTCCAATTTGGCCTGCGGGTGGTTGTATTTGGCCCCCCCAAGTGTTCTGAGAAAAAAAATATATATACAGTGCATTTGGAAAGTATTCAGACCCCTTGACTTTTTCCACATTTTGTCACGTTACAGCCTTATTCTAAAACTGAATAATTTCCCAACGCACTCTTTGTGTGTATGTGTATATAAACTCAGCAAAAAAAGAAACGTCCCTTTTTCAGGACCCTGTCTTTCAAAGATAATTTGTAAAAATCCAAATAACTTCACAGATCTTCATTGTAAAGGGTTTAGACACTATTTCCCATGCTTGTTTAATGAACCATAAACAATTAATGAACATGCAGCTGTGGAATGGTCGTTAAGACACTAACAGCTTACAGACGGTAGACAATTAAGGTCACAGTTATGAAAGCTTAGGACACTAAAGAGGCCTTTCTACTGACTCTGAAAAACACCAAAAGAAAGATGCCAGGTTCCCTGCTCATCTGCATGAACATGCCTTAGGCATGCTGCAAGGAGGCATGAGTACTGCAGATGTGGCCAGGGCAAAAAATTGCAATGTCCGTGCTGTGAGACGCCTAAGACAGCGCTACAGGGAGACAGGACGTGACAGTTGATCGTCCTCGCAGTGGCAGACCACGTGTAACAACACCTGCACAGGATCGGTACATCCGAACATCACACCTGCGGGACAGGTACAGGATGGCAACAGCAACTGCCCAAGTTACACCAGGAACGCACAATCCCTCCCATCAGTGCTCAGACTGTCTGCAATAGGCTGAGAGAGGCTGGACTGAGGGCTTGTAGGCCTGTTGTAAGGCAGGTCCTCACCGGCAACAACGTCGCCTATGGGCACAAACCCACCATCGCTGGACCAGACCAGCAAAAAGTGGTCTTCACTGACGAGTCGCGGTTTTGTCTCACCAGGGGTGATGGTCGGATTCGCGTTTATCGTCGATGGAATGAGCGTTACACCGAGGCCTGTACTCTGGAGTGGGATTGATTTGGAGGTGGAGGGTCCGCAATGGTCTGGGGCGGTGTGTCACAGCATCATCGGACTGAGTTTGTTGTCATTGCAGGCAATCTCAACGCTGTGCGTTACAGGGAAGACATCCTCCTCCCTCGTGGTACCCTTCCTGCATGGTCATCCTGACATGACCCTCCAGCATCACAATGCCACCAGCCATATTGCTCGTTCTGTGCGTGATTTCCTGCAAGACATGAATGTCAGTGTTCTGCCATGGCCAGCGAAGAGCCCGGATCTCAATCCCATTGAGCACGTCTGGGACCTGTTGGATCGGAGGGTGAGGGCTAGGGCAATTCCCCCCAGAAATGTCCAGGAAATGTTGCAGGTGCCTTGGTGGAAGAGTGGGGTAACATCTCACAGCAAGAACTGGCAAATCTGGTGCAGTCCATGAGGAGGAGATGCACTGCAATACTTAATGCAGCTGGTGGCAACACCAGATACTGACTGTTACTTTTGATTTTGACCCCCCCCCCCCCCCCCCCTTTGTTCAGGGACACATTATTCAATTTCTGTTAGTCACATGTCTGTGGAACTTGTTCAGTTTATGTCTCAGTTGTTGAATCTTGTTATGCTCATACAAATATTTGCACATGTTAAGTTTGCTGAAAATAAACGCAGTTGACAGTGAGAGGACGTTACTTTTTTTGCTGAGTTTATATACACTACCGGTCAAAGGTTTTAGAACACCTACTCATTCAAGGGTTTTTCTTTATTTTTACTATGTTCTACATTGTAGAATAATAGTGAAGTCATCAAAACTATGAAATAACACATATAGAATCATGTAGTAACCAAAAAAGTGTTAAATTAACAGGTGTGCCTTCTTAAAAGTTAATTTGTGGAATTTATTTCCTTCTTAATGTGTTTGAGCCAATCAGTTGTGTTGTGACAAGGTGGGGGGGGGGAGTTCATTAGAGTTACCAGCCTCAGAAATTGTAGCCCAAATAAATGCTTCACAGAGTTCAAGTAACAGACATATCTCAACATCAACTGTTCAGAGGAGACTGTGTGAATCAGGCCTTCATGGTCGAATTGCTGCAAAGAAACCAATACTAAAGGACACCAATAAGAAGAAGACACTTGCTTGGGCCAAGAAACACGAGTAATGGACATTAGACCGGTGGAAATATGTGCTTTGGTCTGGAGTCCAAATTGGAGATTTTTGGTTCCAACTGCCGTGTCGCTGTGAGACGCAGTGTGGGTGAACGGATGATCTCACGTGCATTTACCACCGTAAAGCATGGAGGAGGAGGTGTTATGGTGTGGGGGTGCTTTGCTGGTGACACTGTATGTGATTTATTTAGAATTCAAGGCACACCTAACCAGCATGGCTACCACAGCATTCTGCAGAGATACACCATCCCATCGGGTTTGGGCTTAGTTGGACTAGCATTTGTTTTTCAACAGGACAATGACCCAACACACCTCCAGGCTGTGTAAGTGCTATTTGTCCAAGAAAGAGAGCGATGGAGTGCTGGATCAGATGACCTGGCCTCCACAATCCCCCGACCTCAAGCAAATTGAGATGGTTTGAGATGAGTCGGACCGCAGAGTGAAGGAAAAGCATCCAACAAGTGCTAAGCATATGTGGGAACTCGTTAGAGGCTGTTGGAAAAGCATTCCAGGTGAAGCTGGTTGAGAGAATGCCAAGAGTGTGCAAAGCTGTCATCAAGGCAAAGGGTGGCTATTTGAAGAATCTCATAACATATTTTTTTATTTTTTTTAACACTTTTGGTTACTACATTATTCCATATGTGTTATTCCATAGTTTTCATGGCTTCACTATTATTCTACAATGTAGAAAATAGTAAAAATGAAGTAAAAACCCTTGAATGAGTAGGTGTTATAAAACTTTTCACCTGTAGTGTATGTGTGTATGTACAGTTGAAGTCGGAAGTTTACATACACCTTAGCCAAATACATTTAAACTCAGTTTTTCACAATTCCTGACATTTAATCCTATTAAAAACTCCCTGTCTTAGGTCAGTTAGGATTAAGAATGTGAAATGTCAGAATAATAGTAGAGAGAATTATTTATTTCAGCTTTTATTTCTTTCATCACATTCCCAGTGGGTCAGAAGTTTACATATACTCAATTAGTATTTGGTAGCATTGCCTTTAAATTGTTTAACTTGGGTAAAATGTGTCGGGTAGCCTTCCACAAGCTTCCCACAATAAATTGGGTGAATTTTGGCCCATTCCTCTTGACAGAGCTGGTGTAACTGAGTCAGGTTTGTAGGCCTCCTTGCTCGCACACGCTTTTTCAGTTCTGCCCACAGATTTTCTATAGGGTTGAGGTCAGGGCTTTGTGATGGCCACTCCAATACCTTGACTTTGTTGTCCTTAAGCCATTTTGCCACAACTTTGCAAGTATGCTCGGGGTCATTGTCCATTTGGAAGACCCATTTGCGACCAAGCTTTGACTTCCTGACTGATGTCTTGAGATGTTGCTTCAATATATCCACATAATTTTCCTTCCTCATGATGCCGTCTATTTTGTGAAGTGCACCAGTCCCTCCTGCAGCAAAGCACCCCCACAGCATGATGCTGCCTCCCCTGTGCTTCACGGTTGGGATGGTGTTCTTCGGCTTGCAACCATCCCCCTTTTTCTTCCAAACATAACAATGGTCATTATGGCCAAACAGTTCTATTTTAGTTTCATCAGACCAGAGGACATTTACGACCTTTGTCCCCATGTGCAGTTGCAAACCGTAGTCTGGCTTTTTTATGACGGTTTTGGAGCAGTGGCTTCTTCCTTGCTGAGCGGCCTTTCAGGTTATGTCGATATAGGACTTGTTTTACTGTGGATATAGAAACTTTTGTACCTGTTTCCTCCAGCATCTTCACAAGGTCCTTTGCTGTAGTTCTGGGATTGATTTGCACTTTTCGCACCAAAGTACGTTCATCTCTAGGAGACAGAACGCGTCTCCTTCCTGAGCGGTATGACGGCTGCGTGGTCCCATGGTGTTTATACATGCGTACTATTGTTTGTATAGATGAACGTGGTACATTCAGCCATTTGAAAATTGCTCCCAAGGATGAACCAGACTTGTGGAGGTCTACAAAAAAGATTCTGAGGTCTTGGCTGATTTCTTTTGATTTTCGCATGATGTCAAGTAAAGAGGCACTGAGTTTGAAGGTAGGCCTTGAAATACATCCACAGGTACACCTCCAATTGACTCAAATTATGTCAATTAGCCTATCAGAAGCTTCTAAAGCCATGACATAATTTTCTGGAATTTTCCAAGCTGTTTAAAGGCACAGTCAACTTAGTGACTTCGGACCCACTGGAATTGTGATACAGTGAATTATAAGTGAAATAATCTGTCTGTAAACAATTGTTGGAAAAATTACTTGTGTCATGCACAAAGTAGGTGTCCTAACTGACTTGCCATAACTATAGTTTGTTAACAAGAAATTTGTGGAGTGGTTGAAAAACTAGTTTTTAGAATTCAACTGTATTTATGTACAGTTCAAGTCAAATGTTTGGACACACCTACTCATTCAAGGGTTTTTCTTTATTTTTACTATTTTCTACATTGTAGAACAATAGTGAAGACATCAAAACTATGAAATAACACATATGGAATCATGTAGTAACCAAAAAAGTGTTAAACAAATCAGATGGGATGGCATATGGCTGCAGAATGCTGTGGTAGCCATGCTGGTTAAGTGTACCTTGAATTCTAAAATAATCACAGACAGTGTCACCAGCAAAGCACCCCCACACCATAACGCCTCCTCCTCCATGGTTTACGGTGGGAAATACACATGCGGAGATCATCCGTTCACCTACACCGTGTCTCAAAAAGCCACGGCGGTTGGAACCAAAAATCTCCAATTTGGACTCCAGACCAAAGGACAAATTTCCACCGGTCTAATGTCAATTGCTCGTGTTTCTTGGCTC